CCGGACTCTCTACACTGCGTGTAAGCATAGGGGCTTTGTCATGATATCCTACTTCGATATTCGTGCTGCTCGAACTGCACTGCGAGCATTGCAAAATAAGCCACTGCGGAGGAGAAAACTAGACATACATTTCTCCATCCCAAAGGTGGTGATTTGCCGGCTGCTTTTAGTGGTTTACACAATTAGATTGTATGTTACATACCTTTTGCTGACTAACCTCCTCCCTTCTCCTATTACTCTTCTTCTCTCCACCTCTCAATGTACATATATCAGGATAACCCCTCAGACAAAGATATGAACCAAGGAACTCTTGTGGTATTTAATCTGGATCCATCAGTATCAAACGATGACCTCCGCCAAATATTTGGGGCTTATGGTGAGATCAAAGAGGTCAGAGACTCAAATAGTCGAATCATTTATTTCTCATTTTACTCCATCTATTCATTTCCCCTCATGTGCTACCTCAAAGGGCTAGTTGAATTGTAGTATATGTGATATCCCAGTTTCTCTCATTGCAGATAAGGGAAACACCACACAAGAGGCACCATAAGTTTATTGAATATTATGATGTTAGAGCTGCAGAAGCTGCCCTTAGGTCCTTAAATAGGAGTGACATAGCTGGCAAGCGCATAAAACTTGAACCAAGTCGCCCTGGAGGAGCTCGTCGAAAGTGAGTAATCCACTATGATTTGTTTTCTTGATCAAAAGAAAACTAGAATTTGTTTTCTAACAATTTGGAAGCTTAAAGTAGTCTTTTCTGGTTCATGAGCTTCACTAACCTTTTGCTGTTACTAGCATCCAGAACAACCTAGTTACTTTTCATTTACACCTATTCTTCTGCTCTGTTGTCACAAGTGTCTGGCTATGTTCTCCTATTTTTGATAACCGAGAAATCCCCGAGGTCCAATGGCACACGGTTCGAAACTCGGTGTTTCTGTTTTCCCTTTTCTTTTTGCTTTGTTCCATTTCGCTAAATTACTGAATTAGATTACAGGATGATGATCAGACCAGCAAGCTCCCCCAATCTCCCCCACCCCCACCAAAGCAAAGGTAAAAAGGAAATAACTGAAGTAGTCAACTGAAATGAGGAAAGTAATAGTAGCATAGACATCTACAAGTAAGTGTAATTACACCAACTTACAATGGCGTGATGGCGTCCCTTTGCATACTCTCTTCTCTCCTTGGTTTAAACCATGTTTATTTTAAATACTGAGATTCTTGTGCATCTTTAAGTGGGCTACTCACCAGCTGCTGCTTCTCCTTCCTTCTGGATGCTTTTTTCCTCTCAGCCTTTTTATACCCTCGAACTTGAGCTCTTGTTATAATATTATCAGTTTGATATCATCTAAATTCTAGAGCTTCTTGATGTTTATGACGAGTCTTTTGGTTGGGTGTTCCTTCAACAAATTTGAGGTTGCACTACTTTGAGCTTGTTGATGTTTATGATGCTTCTGTTTTTGGGCTGTTACATATCTGGGTTCAGTTTATTGAATCTTGAGTCTGATCTAGGCACACTTTTCTTCTTTATGCTGCACTTGTAGTTCTACGTTGCAATCAAATCAAGAACCTGAACAAGATGACTCTTGGACTTTTCGGCACCCATTGGGTTCCTCAATTGGTAATTCCTCGCCGGGTAAGTTTACTGAGTGTTTCCACTTCTGTGTAATGCTGAAACCATTTAAGGTTCTTCTTTCCCTTCTTTTTGTGCCTGTTGTTCTTTATTTTTTATTTTTTAAATTTGGGTTGGCTGAAAAGGGGGCAGGGGATGGACTTAATTAATTAACTTCTTTGATTGCAGTTATACTATCTGATAGTATGGGCATTCTTATATTTCTGGCAGGTAATTGGCCACAGTTTGGCAGCCCTATAGAGCATAGCTCCATGCGAAGTCCTGGCACTTCACCGGGCTTTAGATCCCTGAGTCCCACAATGGGCAATAATTTACTTGGTTTAGCTTCAATTTTGCATCCTCATGCATCAAATTCCTTGAGGGTAGCACCTATCAGTGAGGATCACAGAATGGGCGGTCATGCAGATCTCCCTAATGGTTCAAACCATGGTGTTCCCTTCCATCAGTCTCATTCTTTCCCTGAACCTAAGATAAGCCAGTTCAGTGGAACAGTGTCATCTTTGGGTACCTCAAATTCAAACAGTTCTGCTGTTGAAACACTATCAGGACCACAGTTTCTTTGGGGCAGTCCAAAGTTGCAACCTCAACAGAGTAATTCTTCATCCTGGAAAGCCCAGGCTTTGGCGAATGTTTTTACATCTGGTGGTCAGGGTGACATGTTTTCCTTGTCAAATCATCAGAAGTCTTTCCTCAATTCATCTCAGCACCATCATCATCACCTTCACCATGTTGGATCTGCTCCATCTGCTCTTCCCTTTGATAAGCACTTTGGTTTTTACCCAGACTCTCCAGTCTTAAGTCCAGGTTTTAGAGGTATTGGTATAGGTCCTCGTGACGGAAGTTTGATGGTTAACTATGGTGCTCGTACCACTTTGAATTCTGGTGTTGCTCTTCCAGGGAATATGTCAAACAATGGTTCTCCTGGGTTTGGCATGATGTCTTCCCAAAGACTTAGTCCTTTATTCCTAGGTAGTGGTCATTTCCCAGGACATGCAGCTTCTAGCTTTGAGGGGCTGACTGAACGCAGCCGCACTCGACGTGTTGACAATAATGCGAACCAGATGGACAACAAGAAACAGTTTCAACTTGACTTGGATAAGATTAGATCTGGCGAAGATACTCGGACAACTTTGATGATTAAAAATATTCCTAATAAGTAATAGCAACTTTTTAATGCTTGTACCTTGTTAAGTATAGCTTATTTTTGTCTTGGTGACTTGACATTGTCTTCATCCAGGTACACCTCCAAGATGCTTTTAGCTGCTATTGACGAACAACATAAAGGCACTTATGATTTTCTGTATCTGCCAATTGACTTCAAGGTAATCCTACTAAAGTAGTTAGGATTATGTGGTGTATTCTTTTTTCCCAAAGTCTGATGAAACTTCTTGTTTGCGGCAGAATAAATGCAATGTGGGATATGCATTTATCAACATGGTGTCTCCATCACTCATTATCCCATTTTACGAGGTTTGTTTTTGTCCATTCTTTTAAACGTAGTGTATAACTTTTTTTTTCTTAAAGTAATTGAGCTATGAGCATTGAAGCTAGTGTCTCCTTGTTTTATAGTTCCCACCTTCCCACTTAAATATAAAGATCGCTATGCCTTCTTGATTGCCTTTCCTTCTATTGTATTTGTGCTGATGTTTTGAAGGAAGAGTGTGTGCTGAGTATTCAATTTCTGCAGGCACTTAATGGAAAGAAGTGGGAGAAATTCAATAGTGAGAAAGTGGCTGCTTTGGCTTATGCTCGGATTCAGGGAAAGACGGCCCTTGTAGCCCACTTCCAGAATTCAAGTTTGATGAATGAAGATAAGAGGTGTAGGCCAATCCTTTTCCACTCAGAGAGCTCGGAATTAGGGGATCAGGTAATATAACCGTCTCATTAAGAATTAAAGCATGCAAAATATAACTACAGTTGTTGTGCATTATGATTCCGCTTGCTTCCCAGATATGTTCTGTTTGGTTTCCTGGTTTTAGCTTGTTTCGTGTTCGTCATGTCAGCTGGCTTTGATTTTTTTCCTCCTAGTTTTCAGGCTATGTGATTGGATTTTCTTATCGAGATGATAACATTGAAACTGCAACTTTTGCATCAAAACACAATTATAGCAATGATGAAAACTTTCATGCAGATTGTTCAAGAGCATCTTTCATCTGGATGCTTACATATTCATCAAGTCTGTCGGTCAAACGAGTCAGACTTCCTGGAGTCACAAGGTAGCCCTCCTGAGGAGGATCCAGTTGACGAACTAGAGAATAGCTAGCATTGGCGTTTCACAGTTTTTTCTTGCGGCTTGAAAAGTTTGCAGCTGTTAGTAAGTGTCGATAGACATATGTAGAGTAGCTTGATTCGAGGCACAAAATAGAAGTATGACGTTTTGTATTATAGTGAGTAGGTGTTTTCGGTTAGAAATCTCTTAAGAGGAAGAGGGTTCTGAATTATGTGGAATCAAAGCATCTGCAGTTCTTGATGTTGTAATCTTTTTTGCAAATTGAGATAGCAAATTCTATCTCAATATAGATTGCAATGTTGTAGTTTTGTAACATTTTTTGGTGGTTGGCCGTTGGAGTAAAGAGCGGATGCTTGATTTGTACAGTGGGAGGAAAGCTGACTGTTATTTTGTGTCAAGTATTTTGGTATTTATGGAAAACCTGCACTCCTTTTTCTAGGGAGAATTACATATCTTACGAGATTTCTGTAACACGTTTTTAAATATTAAATAAACTTCTCTTGAGACCATTTTGTACATTTTTTTTGAGAAGGTGACAGATTTCATTATACGGTTAAATTGCTCCTCATTTGTTCGATATTTTTTGGTTGTTATAGTGAAATATTGTTATAGATGACATATATTATAACATAACATAAAAATTGATTTCGAAAAAAATTTGACTTTTATAGTTAATAAGTATTATATAAAGATGTCTGATTGTATTAAAAGATATCTTTAACACAAAGATTGTGCTACGGAGTTAAAAAGGTGTTACAAGACCCAAAAAGTTGCAAAAACAATCTTGTAGCAGCTACAAGGAATCAATGAGACTATTTTGTACCTCTGCAATAACAATTTGTATTTATGAGGTTTGTTTATAGTTTTTACACAAGAAGCAAGCATTTAATATAGCGTGTACAATATTAAAAACACGCGTTTGATATTGAATGGGAAAAAGATTTGCTTTCAGTAATATCATAGATATTAATTATAACTTGATGGATCCATTTTCCATTTCCAGCTCTGGACAAGTTATTCCAAAAAAAGAAAAAGCCAAAGATTATTGGCGCCACTTATAAAAACATATTTCAAGCAAAAGGTATAAAGAACTCATTTTGATATATTTATTCAATTCTTTGAAATGAAGAAGCTTTTCTATTCAGGAAAACAGCATTTTGGAGCGTTTTATTGAGAAGATAATTTTAGAGCATCCTGATACAAATAATATACAGCATCCATTTACATAAATGACCACATGAAAAGATAATATCCTATGCTGCTGATAATAACATGTACAAGGCAGGAGAATCAGAATCAACTCCACGGCTCTGTGGGCTCTAGCATTTATACTTATTGCCATACAAGTATATAAAAAAACTGATCTGCAGCGGAGAGTTAAAATGTACCATTAAATATGACTTAGGACATTCTACCTACATCCAAATTCGGACAATGTTGTCTAAATTTCCATCTTTTCAGTTCCATCCGAATCTGGACCATGTTGTGTAGATTTCCCTGTTTTGAGTTCCAGGTCTATTAGGAAATAACATTTGTTTTCCTCTCTGACATAGCGGACATGCCCATTCATCATATTGACAAGTTTCTGGGAAAAATTTAGCGCGATTCCTTCTTGTGTTGTCCCTCTATTTCTTCCTCCAGACATGTCTTCGATTAGAGCAGCCGGTAGTCCTTGGCCAGGGTGAGTCATTCTAGAAAATTAAAAGAGTTACATAACATTTATCGATAGAAGTCATTTTATAATACATACATAAAGTTATTGTAAGGCTATAGAAAAATAATTGTGGCTCGGGGGAAGGGGAGAGATTAAAGTTCTTCACAAGGTGGTTGGTTTCGAAGACTACAACAAAGATGTTAACAGTTACAAAAGAAGACAACTGAGAATGTTCTTCGTGTTTTTCTTCTCATCTCACTTGAAAGATTCAAAGCGAGTATTTGAGAACAAAAAAAAATTCAGATAAGTGAATAAAGCACTGTAATAGCACTTCTATGGGTTAACATTATACGTTGCATGAAAGGACAGACAGCAGACAAAATGAGTAAGTTCATGTTGTGTAACAAACCATCAATAGATAAATAGCTCTAATCATGTTACCTGAATTGGAGATGGATAAATTCATTTCCATCTTGTATGAGTTTCAGACCAGGTAACACCTTGATTTCCACCCAACCATCCGGGGAAGGTGCATGATGCACTATACTAAGCAAGAAATCTGAGAGAATAAGCTGAAGCTTAATTTGATCACCATATAGAGGAAGAGTCTTGATCTGGTCAGGAATATCATGCAGCAGTTGTAAATTTTTTTCCTTGAGCAAAATCATTACTTGACTCACAATAGCATCCACAACATTTCCTAGAACGAATTCCTCCATGTTTAGCTCCACTTTGCTGCTAAAACCAGGAGAAAGTAATCTGCATTTAGCAAACCTTTTAAACAAGCTAATAGCATGGGGATGATTTGAAGTAAATCACAGGGGTTGAAGAAGCAGAAAAATTACCAACACAAGAAAGTCACAGGAAAACAAAACAAGAGTAACTAAGAAGAATCAACATAAATATATGTGGAGTCTTATTGTTGCACTGGCGAATACAAAAGAGTCTTTACTGTAGCTTTTAGAAGAAAAGTGAACTTTTAATGGGTTTGCGGTCTTTTGGGTACTTCTCTCTGTTTTTTCTTGGGGCTCCTGTAAACTGATCGCATGCGTCTGGAAAGCTGTTTTCCAGTAAAATTAGCAGATAATAAGTACCAGCTTCTCAAGACTGGGATACAGTGTCCAAATATAGCTCATCAACAAAAGAAGTATCAATAGGAGGCCAAGCAAATAGGAATAAGAAGTTGCAGCGTAGCAAAATTCAAGCAAATTACTCTCTAGTTGAATCTACAGAATTTAATTTAAACCATGATAAGGGAAGAGTTGGTGTAGTGGAAAGAAGAGAGGTAACCGCTACTCTGTAACCACTGGATGAACAACCTATTCAGAAGGTCTTTGAAGAAAGAAAATGGTTCTCTGAGATCATATACGAGATTTCCTCTATCATAAAGTGATAATCAGTTGAGTATAAAAGAAGATATAGAATTATTTTAATCAGGGTTCATATAGAAGAAGCATTACCCATCCTCTATTCTTCCAAAATCCATATTGTCAATAACAGATAGTATCTGTTTCTCACAGGCTTCACTTGTCTCCAGAAGCTGCTTCTGATTATCTGAAACACAGGTTGCTTCAAGGAGTTTATGGGTAAACTGGATCCCGTTCAATGGATTTTTCATCTGCTGTCGGATATAAGAAAATTCTTTAATTTTTGAAAGGGAGTCTTTATTGTCTTGTCTCTCATCCGATGCCTCTGGGTCAACCAGTGTAGGCTGCAAGAAGCAGAAACACCCAATTATATTCCCATGCTCATCAGTTCTCTTGTTTGCTGTTAGGAACACTTCCACAAACTCCCCTGTCCTATTAAAAAAGCCAAATGGAAGCTTTTTGGTGTCATGGCCACTAATTGCTTGGTAGAAAAGAATCATAAATTTGGTAACGGCATCTTGTCCCCTAAGACGACAAAGACCACCAAAAACTTCACCAGGAAGTGTCCTCCCCAGGATCTCATATCTTGTCCAACCGGTCAACCTTTCCATCGCTGCATTCCACTCCGAACAGCAAGCATTTCCATCAGAAGCAAATATTGGTGGAATCAGTGGATTAAGACTTTGTACAATAGCCTCATAATCTCCTTGCAACTGAATAAATTTATCCATGACAGCTTTTTCAGGAGTGACATCTTGAGCCACAAAGCACACGCCAACAACATCATTTTTGTGGTCCCTGCTTGTGCAGGTATTAGTCACAAGGTATAAAACTGATTTTGGTGGATCTTTCCCAAACCTTCGCAACTTTATTTCCACATTTTTGTCCTCCTCACCTGAATCATAAGTTATCACAAGTTACAATGAGAGAGGGGGGGAGGGGGAGGGTGCGAGAACAAGCACTGAGAAACGTGGGTGAAAGCTAGTATTTTATGCTCGCTCTAGTCTTCAGTCAATATTGATTTACCTAGAAAAGGAAAAGTGGTCCTGTGCAATTAAAAGAGTGCACTGAAAGAGTAAGCTAAGCTTCACTATACGGTGGAGATGACTGATTAGTCATTGCTGAAAGCACAGTATTGCCCCAAATGTAGATATGCAGATAACTGTGCATATGTTGTAACATACAAGATGACAAGCCAATTCAATAAGTGTAGGTAAAAGAAGTGTAAGTAGCCAATTCTCTTACCAGTAGGCATGAATTTCAAATCTAAGAAGGTAGACCATCAAGTATAGACTGCAGTGCATAAAGAATGAAGATAAAAGAACACAATGAACACACATATAGAGAATTATAGCCATCGGATGTAAAGCATGTTTCCAAATTATAATGATAACTATTAAGGCTAAAAAGAAATACCTAACAGAGCTCTATGTAGAACTTTTTCAACAGTTTCATGTGAATCTTCATGAGCAATATCATTAATGAGAGACTTTCCAATAGCTTCACTAGCTTGCAACCCTGTCAAGTCAGCAATCTTCCCATTCCATCCATTTATTAAGCCAGATAGATCAACTCCAAAAATTGGAGCAGTGGCCGTCTCAATCAACCTAACCATTTCCATTGCCACAGAACTAAGTTCATCCATGCTTGGACCATCAGCATCATTCTGTTGAGAAGAAGTCATAGTTTTCAGAGAACTGTTCTCGATTTCTTGAATTGATTCTCTCATTATGATTTGTAGAGAATGAATGGCATTAATCTCCGGAACATCCCAAGGCATACTTCTACTTTTAACCACTTCAAGAAAGGCATTAAATGAAGATCGCGGGTGCATTTTTCCTCCATCATCTCTATCATCTGGATGATGCTTAGCACCTCCCACTTGACTTCCTTTGCCGTGTGAGACCTGAACCAGAATAGGAAATCCTTGGAAGTAATTCTCGCAGTAGCCATGCCACAAACTTCATCTCCCAGTAAAGTTGCACCAGGATAACCAGCATCTGCAAGACTGTCCGTACTTAAACCTGTCGAGTCCTTATGAGTGCCTAGCAACCACTCTGCAATATCTTTAACTTGTGCTTCAGTTGGTGTCACCCCAAGCAACCAACATTTTCCACCGTAATAAAGTGCAGCTCCATCGCACTTGACAAGATCCATAATACTAGGGGATTGTGTTACAATGCCAAATGGAACATCTCGAAGAAGCATGTCACATAATAAGGTCTGCATTTGGAGGGTTTTCTTCTCCGCCAACTGTGATGCTAATTGGAGCTCCATATAAAGCTGCAGGCCAAATGCCTGCATGAAGAATTCACATGCATACCGAAGTGGGAAAGGCACATAGCGGGGAGTACTGTGATGACAAACAACCAAACCCCAAAGCTTCCTCAAATCACTGCTATTGATAACTACTGACATCACCAACGATGAAATAGATCCCATGTTGGCCATATACTGTGCATGGCAGCCATGAGGTGATCTAAGAGTCGAATTTACCAAGCAGAGAGGCCGCTTTAGTTCTTCACTCTGAACAATCTTAACAGGCTGTGCATTGCAATCACATATCATCCTAATTCTGTTCTGCTTGAACAAGAACCGGGCAGCTTGGGGGATATCTGTTGCAGGATAATGCAAGCCCAAATAAGGTTCCAATTCTGATCTCCTAATCTCAGACAGAACTTCACCATGATTATCATCATGAAACTTATAAACCATCACCCTATCATATCCAGTCAGCTTCTGCACATCTTCCACCACTGTATCACACAGAACCCCTATATCTCCACCAGGTAGTGACTGCAACCTAGATATCGACCGGACAGCCAGTTTTTGTGACTGCACTGCCCCAGCAAGCAGCAATGCAGGGTCACTAGAATTAGCAGGCTCTAAATCAATCACAATCCCCACATCAATCCTGTGAAGTATAGCATAAAAAGGCTTATGGGTACTCCTAGAATGAACCCATATAGGGTTCAACAAAGAGATTTCCCTAGAAGTCATGGCTTTAGCCAATGAAGCCCCAGAAGAAGGGGTGAAAAGGGTTCTAGCATCAACACCAATCAAAGTAATCAACTTTGATGACTCAGCAATCTTAAAACCTAACATATCAAAGCAATTCTCACTGTAACCTATAATCTTGAAAGTATGTTCCTCAATAGCAAGCATACAACCAAATGGTTGAACAAGCCCACCCCTTTGAATTCTTGAAAGATAAGAAGTGATTTCTTCTTCATTGGCATTATCCTGAGGTGCATAAAGTACTGATCTTGAATAATTAAAGGACTTACCAGAGACACCAGACTGTTCAAACTCAGCCATGAGCTTAGCATCAGCATTGTACTGAGCCATAGTTGCCTTGCTAGTATTGTTGTTGTTGTTGTTGTTGTTCATGTTACTAGCAGCAGAGGAAGAAAAGGTTGAATCTTTGTTAGAATTCTTGTTGTTTTGGAGATTATGGCTAGTGGGTCTTGCTTTTCTTTTGGCTTTGCTGCTGCTCTGAAACTCCATTTTATGAGGTATTGATAAAAATGGGTTATTCTTAGAAACTGATCAGGTGGGTTCAGTACGAAGAGCAGATGGTATTCTATCATGTCTGTACTTGATTCTCTTGTTTGTGCCCTCCTTGTAGCGTCACACATATCTCTCTCTCTCCAATACAGGGTTTATCTTCTTGTAATTATGTCATTATAGCTTTCTAATCACTGTCTTAATTCATGTTCATGGATGACATTTTTTGTTTTGTTTTTCCCTTGTTTTACGATTTGGCCTCGACTAAGCCCCCTTTTTTTAAAAAAAAAATTAAAAAATATATTTATCCATGAAATTTTATAAATTTTTTAAAAAAATCAAAAATGAGTTTTTCAAAAATCAAAAATTAGTTTCTATCACTTTTTCAAAATTTTCAGAATTTTTTTTTCCCGCTCACAAAACTGTAATATTTTTTCAAGTTAAATGCATGTTAAAAAATTATCATTTTTCAAATTCGGACTCGGGATGCTAAGAGTCATCAAAGGGGGAGAAGGTTGCTCCTTACCGGAATTTTTTCCATCCTCAAATTACGGTACTATTTTGAAAGTATCTATTTCATATTATAATTTATCTAGTTTTGAATATCTAAATTTCATAATCAAGATATTATCAAACCATAATTCAGTTTATTTTGACTAAAATAGTTAAGTTGACCATTATTAGCGTAGCAAAGCAAAACATTTACTTTGAAATGGAGATCGAGATACGAGCATGATTTACTCGCATCAAAACATTGTGTAAAGCTTGTTTGGATCAGTAAACTCAATATTTTTGTGAATAGCTTAAATTGTTTTAAGATAGTTGTTTCACTGCTAATTTTTACAGTAAACCCCTTAAAGGATAATACATGAGATGAATATATTCTCCAAAAGTCTAAAACCTTATTTTTTAATGTGATTCATTCTTCTACATATGCAGTTAGCGGGTCAATTGATTTTGTGACTCATTACAAACTTGTATTTAGTTTTATGACCTCATCTCTTTTTTTTTATACATGTACAGATAAAAAATCTTTATTTTACACATAAGAGATCCAAAAAAGACATTTTCTTAAAAAGAATTATTGGCTTAAAACCTCTTTTGAAATACAGCTATAATTCTAGAACACAGAATTTCATAATCATTTCTGGCACGTGTAAGGTAAATATCATCTTCCCAAGAAAAAATGGAAACTTAGGTTTATTCACTTATAGCTATAGGTGAGAACTAAAATAAATACGTATGAAATAAGAGTTTTAGATGAATTTTTATGAACCACAAATTTAAAGGTTTTAAAGTTGAGAGGTATTGTTGTCATATTAGTAACCATAGAAGCTGGGAAAGAAGAACGACTTATGAGAAGATTGTAGGGCCTTGGCCTTTGATGGACTGAAAGATTCCTTAAAAAACTATGGCTGAGAAGGGGACAGACATCAAATCGTTTGGCAAAGTGCAAAAAGACATTAAAGGTCACGTCCAACAATTATACCGTACGAGATTTATTAGAAAAAACACCGTCAAATTCTTGTTCTGTCATAAATTATAACTCAAAGTAACAATATATAACAAGAAAAAATAAGCTAAAAAATATATAGAGAAAGAGAGAAGAAATTCTTATTTCTTAAAGAGAGAAGAGATTCTTATTTCTTCTTCAATTGTGTATATTTTCCTATCTATTACAAGACCTTTATATAGGCCTGAAAAGTGAAGAAAATATGTTATTGAATATGTCATTAAACATAGAAAATATGTCATTAAGCATTTGAGACGAAGATCATGGAGAAAAAGTAGACATCCACCATAATTTGATATTTCTTATAACACTCTCCCTTGGATGTCCATAGATAATGTGTCTCGTTAAAACCTTATTAGAAAAAAAAATCCTGGTAAAGGAAAAAGTGTACACATGTTTAAGAATACGCTTTTTGGTTGTCTCATTAAAAACCTTGCAAGGAAAATCTAGTAGGACATAACCTTGTAAGGAAAAAAGAGTACACCGCGTATTAACTCCCCCTGATGAGAACATCAATTCACATCCTTGAGCCTTCGCATCCCAATCTTGTACACTAGTTTCTTGAAGGTTGACGTCGGTAGAGATTTGGTGAACAAATCAGCCATATTATCACTTGAACGGATCTGTTGCACACTGATATCACCATTCTTTTGAAGATCATGTGTGAAAAATAACTTTGGTGAAATGTGTTTTGTTCTATCTCCTTTTATGAATCCTTCCTTCAATTGAGCTATGCATGCTGCATTATCTTCATACCAAATTGTGGGTAGTTTGTCATACTTCAAACCACATTTGTCTCGAATTAGGTGTATTACAGACCTCAACCATACACATTCTCGACTTGCTTCATGAATAGCAATTATCTCAGCATGTTTAGATAAAGTAGCCACGATTGATTGCTTAGTCGATCGCCAAGATATTGCAGTGCCTCCACATGTAAACACATAGCCAGCTTGAGATCGAGCCTTGTGTGGATCAGATAAATACCCAGCATCGGCATAACCAACAAGATCGGAACTGCAATCATTGCCATAAAATAAGCCCATATCGGTAGTCCCTTTTAGATACCGCAATACATGTTTGATTCTATTCTAATGTCTACTTGTAGGAGCAGAGCTATATCTTGCTAAGACATTAACTGAAAAAATTATGTCAGACCTTGTAGTGTTAGAAAGATACATTAGTACACCAATTGCACTATGATATGGTACTTCAGGACCAAGAAGCTCTTCATTCTTTTCTTGAGGTCAAAACGGGTCCTTATTCACATCAAGTGATCGAACAACCATCAGAGTACTTAATGGATGTGCTCTATCCATGTAAAATCGTTTCAATACCTTTTCTATGTAGGCAGATTGATGAACAAAAATTCCGTTTGCCAAATGTTCAATTTGTAAACTGAGACATAATTTTGTCTTTCCGAGATCTTTCATCTCGAATTCCTTCTTTAAATAATCAATTGCCTTTTGGAGTTCTGTAGGAGTTCCAATAAGGTTTATGTCATCAACATATACGGCAAGTACAACAAACTCCGATGTTGTTTTCTTTATAAAAATACATAGACAAATGGAATTATTTATATAACCTTCCTTTAATAAATATTCACTAAGGCGGTTATACCACATTCTTCCTGATTGCTTTAGACCATATAAAGATCTTTGTAATTTGATTGAAAACATTTCTATGGACTTTGAATTATGTACGTTAGGCATTTTAAATCCCTCGGAAATTTTCATGTATATCTCATTATCAAGTGAGCTGTATAGGTAGGCTGTAACCACATCCATTAAATGCATATCAAGTTTTTCATGAACAACAAAACTAATGAGATAACAGAACGTTATAGCATCCATAACAGGAGAATACGTTTCTTCATAATCGACACCAGGCCTTTGTGAAAATCCTTGTGCAACAAGGCGTGCCTTATATCTTTGTACCTCATTTTTCTCACTTCTTTTACGTACAAAGACCCATTTATAGCCAACGGGTTTAATACCATTAGGTGTTTGGACTATAGACCCAAAAACTTCACGTTTTGCAAGTGAATCCAACTCATATTAGATTGCTTCTGCCATTTTGGCCAATCACGTCTTTGTCGACATTCTCCAACAGGTTGAGGTTCAAGATCCTCATTATCTTGCATAATGCTAGATGCAACATTGTATGCAAAGACATAATCCACCACTATATTCAATCGATTCAAATTTGTCTCAATATCGATTGGATTTATTGATAGTTCCTTATTTTCTTGAGTCTCAGGTTCATCGATATCCTCATGAATTTCAGAATTGGTTAAATCATGGGTTTCTTTATGAGACTCTTTCGTAGTGTCATCTTGATCATTTATTTTCCTTTTTCTAGGATTTCGATCCTTAGAACACAATGGTCTGCCACGCTTTAGGCGTGCTTTTGACTCATTAGCTATAACAATAGAAGATTTTTCAATAGGGACATCAATACAGATATGTGATTTCGTTATCCTTTTCAGATCCGTAAATGCATCTGGCATTTGATTTGCTATTTTCTGCAAATGGATAATCTTTTGCACCTCTTTTTTCATAAATAGAGGCACGTGGATCAAGATGAGATAATGATGGATTTTTCCACGAAATTTTTCGTTTGATTTCACCAATTTCTCCCCCTAATTTTGGAAAAAATGCCTCATCGAATCGACAATCTACCACTCGAGCAGTGAACAAATCTCTCGTTAATGTTTCGAGGTAGCAAATAATGGAGGGCGATTCAAACCCAACATATATTCCTAACCTTCTTTGGGAACCCATCTTGGTGCGATATGGCGGTGCTACAGGCACATATACAGCGCATCCAAAAATTCTTAGATGGGATATATTAGGTTCATGACCCAAAACTAATTGCAATGGGAAATATTTATGATAATTTGTCGGTCAGAGACAAATTAGCATTGCTGCATGCAAAATGACATGACCCCAAACATAAGTGAGTAATTTTGTTTTCATGAGTAACGGTCTTGCTATCAATTGCAGACGTTTAATCAAAGACTCTGCAAGGTCATTTTGAGTGTGAACATGAGCTACATGATATTCCACTTTTATCCCAATTGATAAGAAATAATCATTAAATGCTTGGGATGAAAACTCAGCAGCATTATCAAGTCGAATAAACTTAATTGGATTATTGGAAAACTGTGCCCGTAATCGAATTATTTGTGCAATTAATTTTGCAAACTCAAGGTTACGAGATGACAATAGGCACACATGAGACCATCTAGAAGATGCATCTATTAAGACTATAAAATATCTAAATGACCAACTAGGTGGATGAATAGGTCCACAAATATCCCCTTGTATACATTCCAAAAACGCAAGGGACTCAATCCCAACCTTTGTTAGTGATGGTCTAATAATCAACTTGCCTTGATAACAAGAAGTGCAAGAAAACTCATTATTTAAAAGAATCTTTAAATTCTTTAATGGATGCCCATTTGAGTTCTCTATAATTCGTCTCATCATAATTGATCCAGGATGTCCCAATCGATCATGCCAAAGTACAAAAATATTAGAATTAGAAACCTTTTGGTTTACGATAAAATGTGCCACAATTGTACTAATTCTTGTCCAATACATGCCATAAGATAAAGATGGAAATTTCTCAATAAC